GCAGAATAAGCCAATGCAACTACTTCAACCAGAACTTCATAAGTTTCAGCAGAATTAGCCAAATCGTGTTACCAAACGAACTATAAAAAAGTAAATATAATTAACGTGAAACGAATAAATTCATGGTTCGTTGAAAAAAGTAGAAAAAGTTCAAAATCGGGAAAACCTTAAGACTGCTTAATAGAATAAAGATTGATTTTTGTCTAGAAAGACAGAAGAGCAATTCAACAATTCAACCAGCTCATATGGTTAGAAGAGGGGAAGCAACTTGGATCATATGGTTGAGAAACTTGCTCAATATCACGGGTTGCGTTCATATTCATATTATCACGTGGTCTTTACTCTTGCCAACAACCAGAATCATCTTTTTTAAATCGAAAAGGAAAGCAAAGAAATGAATAAAAAAGTACAATTACGAAAAAAATGGAAAAGAATTAAGGCAATTGATTACTCCGTACTAGGGGTGGGGAAAAATACCAAAATTTCGGTATACCGGACTTACCATATCGAAAAATACCGAATTTACCGCAGTGTTTGGTATACCGACACTTTTGGTAAGGTATGATACCGTATCGAATTACTTCGGTATGGTATCGGTATATATTTTGGAAATAAACAGTATACCATTATACTGTCATACCGTAATTCCAAGCCAATAATTTCTTTAAAATTATAAAAATAACTAGAAACACAACATTAATTCAAGGATAATGACTTTATATCCATGTTTCTTGAATTATTTATACTTTTTGTTGGAGATCGATGTTATTTCAAATATATTTATGTTGTTTAAATTATTGTTGTAGCAGAATGTGTTGTTATCTTCATATATCATGTGTTGAAGTATCCGTACATATTTATAATATTTTTTTGTTCAAAGTTGAATGGAACACAAATAGGTTATCATTGGCATTTTATAATTAATTTCATTAATAATTTTAGTATATCACTATTAACACTGATTTTCTATATTTCATTTGATATATAATAATTTCATATTAAATCATGATAATTTACCGATACCGTAGCTTACCGTACCGAAATTTTGGTATACCGAAACAAGGTATACCGAAATTTAGGTATGGTAACGGTATGTATTTTTGCATACCGAAAGTTTACGGTATGGTAAAGGTATGGGATAAAATCTTCAATATACCGTAACAACCTCTTGCAGCCCTCCAATCATAATCTTCACGTCATTCACCGGTTTTTCTTTTTTCTTGTTCCGGTTTTTCTTTTTTCTTGGTAGATATTAATATGGGTATTTAAATTGCTCGTCGGTAGACAATTTTACCGTAACCAGCTTTGATTTGTAACAAATGCATCTATTTGTGTTTGAATCGCAAAGATCCTCGGTGGTCGAGAGCGGGGTCTTTTATCACTTTCTGAGGCGTGACTTTCAAAGTATTTCCCTGAGAAGAACTTGTTTGAATGTTTAAAATAAGCCAAAGTACGTCTTGTGCTAAGTCGTGAAATTGCTAACTTCATCATCACTTTCAAGTTTGTCTATGAATTTGTGATATGAAGATGATGAGACAGATTTTTTTTCATTTAATTTTCAGAGTTTTTGGGATCGATTTTCTTTTATTTACAGATTTTTCAGAGTTTTTAGGATCTATAGTCTGGTTTCGGTTTTTAGTTAAACTTCTATTTTCATTTAAAAATATGATTTTATTATTTTAGATATTGTTTGTATATTTTGCCAAATTTATGACACCGATTTAGTAATTACATTGCCGACAACGGCATTGGTGGTGGTGGCGTTAGGATTTGCAGCCGTAGCGATCTTTTATTTAAGTTTGGTCTGCTCTGTTTAATCATAGTAAAACATCCATGTTTTCAGCTTATCAGCCTTAGGGGGTGTTTGGATATGATTCTTAAAACTGCTTCTTTTCCTTCAGGGAGCAGAATCAGAAGTTAGAGTGTATGAGTAAAAGTGCAAAAGTGATTCTAGTGCTTTAATTTACTAATAGAATATGTTTTTTTAGAAACTGAGGGAGACCAGCTTCTGAAAAATGATTTTGATTCTGCTTCTGCTTTAAAAAAGAAACAAAAGCAGAATAAGTTCCAAACACCCCTTACCAATCAACTTTTTTTTTACCAAACACACAGTCTTTGACTTCATGCGCTAGATTGTGTTATTAACCTGACTTCAATTGAAATAAGTAAGGTTGTAGTTACTAATCTCGCTAAATGATACGGAGTAAAAGATAATTTTAGTTATTTTTCATGTTTTTTTAATTTTATTAATGAGGTACTCCCCTTCGTTCTACAATAACTATCTCGTATTCTTTTTGGGATGTTCTTAAAATATTTGTCTCTCTTTCCTTTTTAGTAAGCTTTTTCAATCAAAATTCTTTTTTTAAGTAATCAAAATTCTTATATACCCCTACTTTGATTACCCTTACACTTTGTTTGTTACAACATACCACTTTCTCTTTCCTACTTTATCATTACTTTACTTTTTTAAATACAAAGCCCGTTTGGTGACTCGGTTCTTAGGCTAATCATGTTTATCAGAGAATTTTTAACCAAACACGTAACTTTTGATTTGGCACGCTGAATTGTGTAATAATAAGAAAAAGTAAGGATGTAGTTACTTTTCTGACTGTATTGACTGAAGTTACCGTAGAAGATCATTTTTGGGTATTTTTTCATATAACCTTTTCTTTATTAGATTAATAAAATATATTTTAAATATAATTTCTTGATAAATTAGTAGAATAAACCAATACAGTCACTTCAGCAAGAACTTCGTAAATTTATGCAGAATCAGCCGATTTAGCCGATTTCAGTGTTACCAAACAAACTCATATGCTCTTTCCCACGATTTCATTTACCCTATGCACTCTTTACTATCCCTACTATATTCTTCTTAAAACCACAAAAAACCTAAGGATACTACGGAGTATTATTTAAAGATAGAAGAGTGTATGTTTTGAACATAGTCTTTTTTAATTGAACAAATTCAACCAATTCAGTCTCGCGAGTCAAAATTTCATAAATTTAAACAGTTTCAATCATCTATTTCAGTATTACCAAACGAACCCGTAAAGTATCATGGAAACTGTACAGAAAAATACGTAAGAATTATACGTAAATATAGACTCAGATAAAAAAATAGGAGGGAATAACAAGATAATGAAATTTAATGTAAACGATTAATTTGACATTTTCTTTATTAGAAATTATTCCAAATAGAAGTAAAACTAGGATAAAAATAAAAAATACGACTTCTTATGTTTTATTCTCAAATAGGACCATATTACTCATATTTTAAAACATACGTATTTTTTCATTCCATTCTTACCCCTCCATTATACAAGAGTAAAAGGCAGTCAAGAGTCATAATGAAATGTAATTCATAATACAATAGGATTTTGATCTGAATATTACTCCGCACTAATGAACGGACAATGGATAAAAAATGATCTTTTTAATTTTAAAAAATGTAAATAATAGTAATAAGCTACAGTAACACGCTACAGTGACCCAGTGTAGTGACCCTGTACAGTGACAAGTGACACGAGCACAGTAACATCCACCACTACCAACACCACCTCATGACCGTTGACCACCGTTGGCCGAAGCTGCCGACCACAGTGACATCGACCACAAATATCTGGTCATAGTGATGCCGCCATAGTGACGTCACCACCACCCAGTGAGATTAGATTTCCTAGTGACACCGCCAGCTGAATTACTTCGGTCACCATCACCTCGACAATGTCCCTCCCCAGCCTCCCAGCTCCCCTCCCATGCCCAGCCACAACCACCGCACAATTGTGTTCCGCCTTCATAGCCCATCCGTAGCACCCTACCCGTCAAATCCAGTGACACCGTCGCACCTCGCCCCTCATCCACCAAACACCGTTGCTGCAACCATAATCTCCACCCTACCTCAGACCTTATATGTTACTAGATCTGGAAATGAAAGGGCGACCATTGACCGCCATCGCCATTCTGACGCAAGACAGAAAGACATGAAAAAGAAGGCGGACGACGGACTTCCATGACAGTGAGTGATGAAGGTGCGAACCGAGGTGAGTGATGAAGGTGTGGCGATGGGCTTCGGCGGCAACGATGCACTTTGGCAGTGCAACCTCGCGTCACAGCGGCGATAACAGAGCGACATCATCTAGAGGAGGAGCTGCAAAAGTGGCGGCGATAATAGAGCGACATCATCTAGAGGAGGAGCTGCAAAAGTGGCGGATCTGGGTGAAAAATGGAATACATGTCTTGAGGATGGCGGAGTCTAGCTTCACCAGAAAGAAGAGAACATTGCGCAGATAAGGCGCAGAGATGAAGGGCGACATGTTGGGCGGGCGAGAGACAATTCCTTTTTAAAATAGGAAAAATTGAAAATAATAATCTCAACTATTGTTGGTCCGCTAACAATAATTGCAATTATTGATTATTTTTGTATAATCCCAACTATATGGACCGTCCGCCAATAACGATCCATGACCGGATATTACTTGCTATAACATGTGATTTTTAATAGAAATTAAGCGTAATATTTAAAAGTTGGGATTATTTATAGGGATTACCTGCTATATCTCTTCCCATCCACCTTAGAAACTATAAGAATTTATTTATAGTCGGTCACGCCGGATCATTATTGGCGGAAGGTCCCTAAAGTTGGGATTATTCTGCAATAATCGATAGTTGAGATTATTATGAGCGAACCGCCAATAGTTGAGATTATTACTATCAATTTTTCCTTTAAAATAAATGGTCAATTTTTTTTGTCTTTCTATAAAGTGGTACTCCGTAATATTTTTGTCTATTAAAAGTTAAAACCCTATAAGTAATATTTTTGCAATTCTTTATATTAAAATCATAAAAACTAATAAAAATCCTAGAAAAATAAGAAATAATAAAACATTTACAGAATATTTTTTATTTTATTTTTTTATTTATATAAACAGCCCCTAAGAAAAAAGAGAAAAGATAGTTACCGTTTTGGCGTTCGCAGTTTGGGGTTTACAGAGGTAAATGGAGAACATAGCTTCTTAGAAGGCTGCCATGATGATGATGCAATAATAACATCAAAATGGAGAGCAGTCGTCTGAACAACAATGGGTTAAGACAATATTCTCCCACATCCCCGCCTCTTCCACTCACTCACGTCTTTCCACTGACGGAAGACAAAACGAACACGCCTTCCCTTCGTCAACTCCCACCGTCAGATATGGCGGCCGCCGTAGTTTGCCGGCCACACCTCCTCCTCCTCCTCACTGTCGTATCCTTCCTCCTCCTACTCTCTTCCGCCGCCGCCGACGAGCTCCACTCCCTCCTATCCATCAAGTCTGCCCTTCAAACCACCGACACCAACGTATTCAACACCTGGACCGCCGACAACTCTCCCTGCAACTTCACCGGAGTTACATGTAATTCTCTCGGCTCCGTCGCGGAAATCGACCTTTCCCTTCAAAACCTCTCTGGGTCTGTCCCCTTTGGTTCTATTTGCGCTCTCAACTCGTTGGAGAAGCTCTCGCTCGGGTACAACTCACTCTCCGGCGAAGTCTCAGGCGACTTGAATAAGTGCGTCGGATTGAAATACTTAGACCTAGGCAACAATTCCTTCACCGGGTCGATTCCGGAGATCCCGTTTCTCAATCAGATGACTTATCTGTACATGAATCGCAGTGGGTTTTCTGGAAAAATCCCGTGGAGCTCTCTGGAGAACATGACTGAGCTGGAGGTTCTTAGCCTGGGCGACAATGGGTTCGACAGTTCTCCGGTGCCGGACGGGATTCGGAAACTTACAAAGTTGAATGTGCTCTACCTATCGAATTGTAGTCTCGTAGGCGAGATCCCAGCAGGGATTGGGGATCTCACGGAGCTAATAAGCTTAGAGCTATCTATGAATAATCTTACCGGAGAAATTCCTCTCGGTATTTCAAACCTCCGGAAACTCCGGGAACTCGAGCTTTATTCCAATAGTCTCACCGGGAAGTTGCCCGTCGGCTTTGGGAATCTCTCAAACCTGGAACTCTTTGATGCTTCATCTAATAAACTTTCTGGGGATCTTTCTGAAATCAGGAGCTTGAATAAGCTGGTCAGCCTGCAGGTTTTCGAGAACAGATTTTCCGGCGAAGTTCCGGCGGAGATGGGGGAGTTCAAGAATCTGATAAACTTGTCACTTTACACTAACCAGTTCACCGGACAACTACCTCCAAAGCTTGGTTCATGGTCAGAGTTCAATTTCATTGACGTGTCTGAGAATTTCTTCACCGGTCCTATTCCACCGGAGATGTGCAAACGGGGGAAGATGGTGAAGCTCTTGATTCTTCAGAACAACTTCACCGGAGAAATCCCAGAAAGCTACAGTAACTGTACCACTCTGAAGCGTTTCCGGGTGAGCAAGAATTCACTTTCCGGTCCAATTCCTAGCGGAATTTGGGGTCTGCCCAATCTTGATATATTAGATCTCTGTGACAACGGATTCGAAGGATCTATAACTTCAGACATCGGAAATGCTAAGACTTTGGGGCAGTTGTTTCTGGATAATAACAAACTCTCCGGCTATCTGCCACCAGAAATATCGGGTGCTTCCGCCTTAGTGTCGATTAAATTAAGCAATAATCAGTTCTCAGGCGAAATCCCGCAAACTATAGGAGATCTTAAACAGCTAGGTACTCTTCATTTAACCAATAACAAATTCTCAGGCTCAATTCCATATTCATTAGGCTCTTGTGTGTCCCTCAGTGATTTAAATTTAGCTTACAATTCTCTTACCGGGAATATTCCGGCGACCATCGGCTCATTATCGACTTTGACATCCCTGAATGTATCTGGAAATAGACTCTCTGGTCAAATCCCACAGATGTTATCATCCTTAAAGCTCAATGTGATCGACCTATCCAATAATCAACTCACAGGCCCCATCCCGGAGTCTCTTTTTGTTGAGGCTGATAATGGCAGCTTCACAGGAAACAACGGCCTTTGTAGCCAAAATAAAATGAAGTTTTTTCGGCGGTGTTCAAGGGATTTCAGAAAATCCCATGATCCTCGCACTCTTTTGCTTTGTTTGGTGGCACTTACAATGGCTATAGTAATTATTTCCTTGGCATTTATCTTCTATCTTAAGAAAGGTAGTACAAGGAAGTCTCACCGCGAGCGGTCATGGAAGGAAGATGCTTGGGATGTGAAATCTTTCCGTTTGTTGAGCTTCACGGAAGACGAAATCCTTGACGCGGTCAAACAAGAAAATTTGATTGGCAAAGGTGGGTCTGGGAGCGTATACAAAGTGGTCTTGAGAAACGGTAAAGAATTGGCCGTGAAACACATTTGGAATTCCGACAGCATTGGACGGAGAATGGTTGGTGGCTCCGCAACGCCTATTTTGGGGAAAAGTGGGTCGAAGTCGAAACAATTCGAGGCCGAGGTTCAAACTCTTAGCTCAATAAGGCATGTGAATGTTGTGAAGTTGTATTGCAGTATTACAAGTGAGGACTCCAGCTTGCTGGTTTATGAGTATATGCCAAATGGAAGTTTATGGAACCGGTTGCACAATTGTCAAAAGGCAGAATTTGGTTGGGAGACAAGGTATGAGGTTGCGGTTGGAGCTGCAAAGGGATTGGAGTATCTACATCACTGCTGTGACCGTCCGGTAATTCATCGGGATGTAAAGTCGAGCAACATTTTATTGGACGAGGATTTCAAGCCGAGGATTGCAGACTTTGGTCTTGCCAAGATTGTGCAACCCTATTCTTGCAAAGATTCAACTCAAGTCATTACTGGGACTTATGGGTACATTGCCCCTGGTAAGGCCATATCCAAATTTTTTGCACCCATTTCCATACTAAAGGCATTTGTGTTAATTCTGTTAACATGTAAAGTATAAAGACACCAAATTCACATATAAGGCTCAAGTATAAGTATTCAAACTTACTTAGAAGGTCTTAGAACATTAAGTTTAAAAATTGTATTGGAACCGATGAAGCTTTAAATGAGCCACCATTTAGCATGACATGCTAAGTAGTTTCACACACTGAATATTAAGATACAAACTCACATGTAAAGTCTTTTGCTACACTACACCTCTTATGAGTTTTACTACTTAGCATGAAACCTCGGGTTTTAATAACTTCATCCCATGTAAGCCAAAATATGAAAATAGAAACACACATTGACAAATATAGTACTATGTATGAACTACTGAGTAATAACCTAAATTTTCATTACTTTCACTCCTTGCACCATTTTTAATCCTAAAATAGAAATTTCTATATGTTCCATTTTGAAAAAATGACACATTTATTGCTAATAGAGTTTTCTCAGACAAAAATATGACTAGTCAGTAGTCGCTGCGTACAAGTAACCGAACAAGAGTCACTATAGTATATTTGAGAGTGACAAATCACTACCAGAAGATGAGTCACCAGGAACTACTCATGGAATATGTCGTTTTTTTTTTAAAATTTCAAAACAAGTCATATTTTTGTCTTTTGAATTTGATTTGGTAGTATTCATGGAAAAAGGCCTTCTATTTTTCCTAAACAAAACCAAAGATTTGGGATGTGGCTCTTGATTCAGAGTACATCTCCCGCTTGTTTGATACATTGTTGACTTTACGGTAATTTGTCTGAATTTGCAAAAGGTTTGGCACAGTTGTTGGATCCATACTGGTCTCCTTTCCAATGACATTTTTCTTGTCACAAAAGAAATTAAGAAAAAAACAGAAAGCGTGTTTGTCTCACAAATGAACCTAAATGCACCGTGAGATTTTCTGCGATCCATTTCATAGTTTGAGCAAATCTAAGAACACCCATACTATCATCATTTATGTTTACAACAGTAACTCTTGCTGCATGTGTATTGTAGAATATGGATATACCCACAAAGTGAACGAGAAGAGCGATGTGTATAGCTTCGGAGTGGTGCTAATGGAACTGGTATCGGGGAAACAGGCGATAGAACCAGCAGTGTATGGTGACAACAATGACATTGTGAGTTGGGTGAGCAACAAAATGAAGAAGGAAGAGAGTTTGGAGAGCATAGTTGATTCAAGTATCCAAGCAGCTCACAGAGAAGATGCAGTCCAAGTCCTAAAGATAGCCATTATGTGCACTGCTAGGCTGCCTAGTCTAAGGCCAAGTATGAGGAGTGTAGTTAAAATGCTAGAAGATGTAGAGCTTTGCAGGTTGTCAGGGATTATAATAGGCAATGGTGGCAGCAAGTTGGAGTCTGCATAAATATTTATGCAATCTGATGACTAGTTGAGGATGGACTATCCAATGTGATATAGCATCCATAAAAGTGTAATGTTTTTTTACTAAAACCATAAAATTTTGGATCATGTAACATAGCAACCATAAAATAATGGATCTTGTAACATAGAAACCATAAAAATGATGGATCTTGTAAAAAAACTCTTGTTTTAGAACTCTTTTTGTCATGATTCTGGTAAAGTCATTGAGATAATTCCCCAAAAATGAGTAAAACATGGAGGAAGTGCCTAATTAGGAGTATGTTTTTGAAAATTTCCCAGACATGAGTATTTTTTAAGGGTTGGACAAGGATACCACTGTCGGCTTTGGGGCAGCCACCGGAGCTGCTGACGTTAGCTGCTGCCACCATCTGATATACTGCCACCGTCTGATCTATCGAAATTTTACAGAATGCATCAGCCACCAATATGATGCTCCTGTCTGATATATCAAATTTTCCATAAAATACTACGGAGTATCAATTAACTCTATATGCAAAGCAGGTTAAAGTCAAAATATAGTGAAATATTTTTCGTATTACAGCTATGTACTCTTACTTATGAAAAAATTACTCATATTTATGAGGAAAAAACAAAATACTTCTATCTCTGGAATTTTTCTTCATTAAAACCAATTTCATTGAATTTATCAAAAACATAAATAATTGTACCTTATGAAATACGTATTTCGAATATGCAATTGCTTAGCCTAGAAATAATATATGTACTTCAACTTTATTTTGGGCTAAAAAATACCGAAGGAATTTTCTCCTATATTTTTTCCTTCTTTCGCAATCTCATTTTAGTTTCGGCCCAAATAAGCGGCAATACAGACCAAGCATTAAGTTTTAGGTGAATACTACAGTACTACACTACTGTACCTGTCATGCAGTTTATCAAATATCAATCCAAATGATCATTTCATCAATTATTTGAATTTAAATTATTTAATTGTAACACAGTACTCGGATAATTGATTTATGGGAACAATGTATGATATCTTAAGAATACCATAGAATTTCGCCATTTATGACTAGAGTCCTCAAAATGGGCCGAAACCCGCGGGCTGGCCCGTTTAAACCCTTTTATTGGTGGGTTAGGGTTGAATTTTTTTGACCCATTTAGGATGTTTTTACTTGGACTGTAATTTGCTGGTCTGGTCTGGTCTGATCTGATCTGGTCTGGTCTGGTCTGAACTGGTCTGGTTTCTTTGTATTTTTATAACTATCCAAGTCTGGTCTGGTCTGGTCTGGTCTGGGACAAATTACAGTCCAAGTAAAAACATCCTTAGTTCGCGGGTTTCGCGGGTCAACCCACGCGGGTTGCAGGTTTAAGTGGGTTGGCCCACCGGGTTGCGGGTTGGCCCGCGAGCCAAAATACAAAAATATAGTTTTGAATTTTATTATCTTAAATATTGTTCTTTTACTACTAATATATTATAATTACAATTAAAAAGTATAACCATGGAAAAAATACTTATTTCTATAATAAATATTCAAATAAAATGTTGAAAAGTGTTAGGACTTTTTCTGGTGTCCAATCTAGTTAGATGTATTTGTATTTGTGTAGTTGTTAGTTAAATGTGTAATATGGGCCACAATTGAATATTAGCCCATTAGCCTCTCTTGTAAGCCATAAGTTAGCCATCCTCTCCTATAAAAGGAGGCTAACTTATGAGAAAACCTAACTAAGGCATAGAGCATAAAGGCAGAATAGTGAGAATAGTTTCCAGCTGCTCTCTCTCTCTAGAGGGAGAGCAGCGGCCATTTTATACGATGTACCAGATTTCTGTTCAAACTATTTGCTTCTTCTTCTTTCACTGTTTTATGATTGTATGATTGTTAGAAATAGGGATCAACAAAAAGTATATTTTATGTGAAGCTCGATACAATATTTAACAATTAGTAGTCATTATTTACAAATGATCAATCAAAAGGTTTACGTAGATCTTTATTTTTATACAATGAGTATTTTTGTCGCATACCCACTTATAGTTTTCAAAGAATTACCGTATAACTAGTATTTAATTTTTTCAAACTTAAAAAGTATGGAATTTTTGGTATTTTTATTCCCTATATTTCCTTTGTTACTACTTACTAATAAATATATACTTTCGGGTAATTATTTTTAGAGAATTTTTTGTCATTTATTTTTTTGCGTTGGCCTGCGGGTCAACCCGTTTAACCCATGAGTTAGATGTGTTGGGTTAGGGTTGTAGAAATTCTGGTCCGTCATTAAACGGGTTGGCCCGACCCAACCCAACCCACATAAAGCATAACTCGTTACGGGCCGGATCGGGTTGGCCCATTTGGCAGCTCTATTTATGACCACTGACAACTCCATCTTCAACATATATAAAAGTTGAATGTATCCAACTAAGAGAATTTTCTAAATCTCTTTAGTTAGTAGCTCCGATTTTTCCTAGGGCGTGCGCCGCTATGCTTTGATTTCCGATTTCAATCGTCACCGATCGAAGTTCGGCTGCTTGGGTTTTTGATTTCGTCGTTTCACACTGGAACAGCAGGAGGTAAGCTTAGGACGGCGAGCAATTGGTGCCTTCTGCTTCGGTTCGGCCGAGGATAGAGAAGGATCCGAGTAAGAGGTTGGCAACAGGGGCCTGGTGCCACTGGTTCCGATTGGGAAGGTAAGCATGGATTTTGGGCTCACTCGTGCTATAACCACAGGGATTAAGGAGTTGTCAGTGAAAATTGTGGTGGTGGGTTTGCAAGGAATGGTCCAAGATGAAGGGTTGATGATCCGTCCCCCTCCCGAGCCACCGCCGAGGATGATGATTGAAGCTTGGATTCGGTTGTTTTGTCAGTTTATTTTATTAATTTTCGTTCTACGCCATGGTCAGATTGTTGTTTCTTGTTTTAATTCTTTCTTCTCCTGAAATACTCTTGCATTAGGTTTGGGGGTTGAGAGGTCTATGGTAATCGTCGTTGGCTTTATTTTGTCCAAGTTAGGTCTAGTGAGTTATATTGCTTTCTCAAAGGTGATTAACTCAGAGTCTCGACCAAAGGCGGATGGTTACATGTAGTCCTTTTCGTATACACGTCAAGACGTGTAAAAGCTTTTTATAAAGGCCACAAAGACAACATTGTACAATTTATAAAAAAATTATGCGAGTTTTTTGACAAATTGCTTGTACAGATAACCGGGGACAGAAATAAATAGATTTTTTGTGTTCATGCAAGTTATTTGAGATCCATTCGATTTCTACATGAGTTTAGCTTTACCCAACTCAAACTTGATTCAGACTCGAAAAGATCACAAGCTACTCGCTAATGAGTTAAAAAGTGCAGATCACCCATTTTATAGGAGGCTCTGTCTGGCCGTCGCCATTTGAGGCGGTTCCCGTTGCAATTTTTTTATAAACGTTTTTTAGCATCTTAGTCATTAAGTCTAGCTAAAAATTCAATCGGGAAGGCAGTCAAATGAAATTTTGAAGTTAACTGTCCAGTTAAATAGCGCAATGTATTTCAGAAAATCATTAGACTGCCTCCCCGGTTGATTTTTTAGTTGAAATTTGGTATGAGTAAAAACCAGACTTAATGAAGAAGATGCTTAAAATATTTCATCAAAAATCTCCACCGGAAACCGCCCTAAATGGTGACGACCGGGCAGAACCTCCTATAAAAGGAGTGATTTGCACTTTTTATGTAAGTTCGAGGGCTTATTTGGGAGTTCTCTCTTTATGCATTTGAACATTACACCATTGGGAGATGGGAGGGACCCCTTTCCGGACTCTCGCCTTATAGTGATGCCTTCGTGTCCATTTTATACATTTGAACACTACAAAATTAGTGAGTCATTGAACCGCTTCGAACTCTCTAAAAATTGAGCTTTAATATAAGAGCATCTCCAATAAGGATGTAAATTTCACCCTTAAAAAAATGGACACACCATCCATATAAATAGCCCGTGGGGCTGATTTGGACTCATAGACTATTAAAATAATATTCCTTCTTCAATGGTTTCTTCCGTTGGCTCTCTTAACAAAATAATAATTTAATCATCATTAATAATATGCAAAGTATTACTACTCCGTACTATTTGTTTTCGTAGACAGAGTGGAGTACATAGGAAGTACATAGAATTAATTTTTTGCTTAGTTGGCAATGGGATGAGCTTTCTCAAACGAGAAGGTGGGATAGACATCGTCCCTTTTTTTTTTTTTCATTCCATGTCATTACTATAGCCATAATCCATATTGCTGTTGGAGAGTTTTTTTTTCGAACTTTGACGTGGCAATGATTTAGAGGAATTGATCCTCCCGTTAAAGATGCTCTAAAAATGGACTTTTTAGGAGAGATCAACTTCTTAAACAGAATTATAATTTTTCCTATAATATTAAATCGAGGATTAAAATCTCTTTGGAAAATTTACCTTTTGGAAATATATTATATTTATTCAAATATTGACTAACACCTCCAATCTTTTACTCCTAAATCTACACGTAGAGTGCCTTTCGCAAGGCCTAATTGTAGAACTGTTTATATACTATCGTATGATCAAATGCATAGTGCTCATAATTATAGGTTTAAATTAATCTCGGCCCAGCATACATAATTTTACAAAGTACAAACTAACTTCGGCCCAGCATTTGAAAAATCTAATGGCCTAAAATGCACAGTAGTATTTTGATAGTAAAATCAAACAATTTGAGATGCAACACTTTAAATATTAATATGCAACTGGTTTCTCAACTATCAATCTAGACATAGAGCATAAGAATTCAAGGGTGGGTTCGATTCGGTTTCAAAAAAATTAGGAACCCTTTTGAGGACCGTTAAATCTATGCCGGTTAGTGCATTTTCTCTAGTTTTATACTAGGGAAAAGGGGCAAATAAGCCCTCGAACTACTTAAAAAAGTGCAAATAAGCCCTTTTGTAGGAGGTTTCGTTTGTCTATCGTCATTTGGGGAGGTTCCCGGTGGAATTATTTGATGAAATTTTTTGAGCATCTTATTCAATAAGTCTAGTTTAGTCATACCGAATTTCAACTAAAAAATCAATCGGGAAGATAGTCAAATGAATTTTTGAAGATAACTGCGCAGTTAAACAACGCAGTGTAGTTCCCAAAGTCATTTGAGTGCCTTCCCGGTTGAATTTTTAGCTGAAATTTGGTATGGATAAACTAGACTTAATGAAGAAGATGCTCAAAAAAATTCATCAAAAAATTCCACCGAGAACCTCCCCAAATGACGATGATCGGACAG